CGATGAATTGAGCCGGTGCCTTGTGTAAAATTTTCTCCATTTGCCCCCGATTCCCTCAGACTTTAAATTATCTATAAAGAACTGAACTATACTAGTGGGTCAGAGCAGCATTTTAAATAAGGCAAGAGCTGATTGCACCGGATTTCACCGGGCTGTAAATTCGGTGTAAATAGCGTGTATGTGTTCTTTTGGGTAAAGAAAGTAGGAATATACCGTTTGCTTTCATCCTGAAGAAATATTTTTGGAGAAAAAAAAGAATTAGTTTCCACTGAAAATTTTTTGGTGCTAAAATATAAAAAATTTCTCAGCCGAGAATCGATCCATTACTCATTTGACGTCTACGGTTTCTACCACTGTACCACGTGTTCATGAACATAGCGAATTGATCGTAACTGAACTAGTGATCTCAATCCTTTATTCGGTGAGAATACTTTGAAATATTTTTATGCTTTTTCTCCATAAATATTCACCCAGGACGAAAGCCAACGGTAGATTCCTACTTATTTATCTCTAATGAACACATTTAAACTATTTGTAGACGATTTAAAGGCCGGTGAATTTCGATGAAATGAGCCGGTGCTTTGTTTAAAATTTTCTCCATTTGCACCCGATTCCCTCAGACATTAAATTATCTATAAAGAACTGAACTATACTAGTGGGTCGGAGCAGCATTTTAAATAAGGCAAGAGCTGATTCCATCGGATTTCACCGGGCTTTAAATTCGGTGTAAATAGCTTGTATGTGTTCTTTTGGGTAAAGAAAGTAGGAATGTACCGTTTGCTTTCATCCTGAGAAAAATATTTTCCGACAAAAAAAAGAATTAGATTCTACTGAAAATTTCTTGGTGCTCGAAAATATAAAACATTTCTCAGGCGAGAATCGACCCATTACTCATTTGACGTCTGCATGCAGTTTCTACCACTGTACCACGTGTTCATGAACATAGCGAATCGGTCATAACTGAACTAGTGATCTCAATCCTTTATTCGGTGAGAATACTTTGAAATATTTTTATGCTTTTTCTCCATAAATATTCAACCAGGACGAAAGCCAACGGTAGATTCCTACTTATTTATGTCTAATGAACACATTTAAACTATTTGTAGACGATTTAAGACAATACTATTTTAGGCTGTTTGAGAAAAGCTGCCAAATAGTTTAAAGAGTCAAATTAAGTGTGGTAGCGTATACTTTGGCTCAAAAACAACATACAGTATAAGCAAATACTTGAAGTTACTACCGCAAGAAAAGTGCTGCCATCATGGCGTTCTAATTTGCCGCGAACTGCTTATATCCTTCACCGCATAGTAACTATCTCACCGCATAAGATAAGCGCGTGACGACAATTAGCTATAGTGTTTAATTTGACATAAACTTTCGTTCTCCCTCGGTGGCTTAGTGGTAGGTCGTTTGGCCTGTCTCGACAAACCTTTGAGTTCGAATCGCGTCGAGTTCATATTTTCAATATTTTTCCTTTTATTTCTATCCAGCTGTTTTTATTCTTTTTACATCTTTATATGAGAAATCGCTTTGCAAGTAGTTGGAAATATTGGTATGTTGAACCTGGCTCGAAGACATCCAATCATTTCTAACAGTTAATTCCGTTCGATATTATTTGAGGTGTTTTATTTCAACTCGCGTACTATTTTAGGCTGTTTGAGGGAAGCTGCCAAATAGTTTAAAGAGTCAAATTAAGTGTGGTAGCGTATACTTTGGCTCAAATACAACATGCAGTATAAGCCACTACTAGAAGTTACTACCGCTAGGAAAGTGCTGCCATCATGGCGGTCTAAGTTGCCGGGAACTGCCTATATCTTTCACCGCAATTCACCGCATAGTAACTATCTCACCGCATAAGATATGCGCGTGACGACAATTAATAGTGTTTAATTTGACATAAACTTTCGTTCTCCCTCGGTGGCTTAGTGGTAGGTCGTTTGGCCTGTCTCGACAAACCTTTGAGTTCGAATCGCATCGAGTTCATATTTTCTATATTTTTTCCTTTTATTTCTATCCAGCTGTTTTTATTCTTTTTACATCTTTATATGAGAAATCGCTTTGCAATTAGTTGGAAATATTGGTATGTTGAACCTGGCTCGAAGAGATCCAATCATTTCTAACAGTTAATTCCGTTCGATATTATTTGAGTTTTATTTCAAGTCGCGTACTATTTTTGGCTGTTTGAGAGAAGCTGCCAAATAGTTTAAAGAGTCAAATTGAGTGTGGTATAGCGTATACTTTGGCCCAAATACAACATACAGTACTACTAGAAGTTACTACCGCAAGGAAAGTGCTGCCATCATGGCGTTCTAAGTTGCCGCGAACTGCCTATATCCTTCACCGCAATTCACCGCATAGTAACTATCTCACCGCATAAGATAAGCGCGTGACGACAATTAGCTATAGTGTTTAATTTGACATAAACTTTCGTTCTCCCTCGGTGGCTTAGTGGTAGGTCGTTTGGCCTGTCTCGACAAACCTTTGAGTTCGAATCGCGTCGAGTTCATATTTTCAATATTTTTCCTTTTATTTCTATCCGGCCAGCTGTTTTTATTCTTTTTACATCTTTATATGAGAAATCGCTTTGCAAGTAGTTGGAAATATTGGTATGTTGAACCTGGCTCGAAGAGATCCAATCATTTCTAACAGTTAATTCCGTTCGATATTATTTGAGTTTTATTTCAACTCGCGTACTATTTATTATTACATATTAATCAACGGTCATATTGTGATTTTCCCTTGTTTAAAATAAGGGACAGTACGTGTTCCTTGGGCTTAGTACCGCAAAGTTGTTGCACGAATCCATGGCTGAAAACGCAGGAAATAGCATTTCCGAGGTTCAACCCCCCAAGGTTATAGGATCGAGTACTCTACTTTATCCCTGTATGTTTTGGGTTTTGGCGCAGTTATACATTTTTTGCAGTTGGTGCAGTGTACAAATTCCTTGGCCCATCTTGCGATTCAGTTCTCGGCCACCTCTGAGTGAAAACCTCGGCTACGTCTCTGACGATAGCTATATGAAAGCCTTAAGTTACTGTAAGCCGTTATTATGAGAAGCAAAAAAAAATATCCTGGCTCCAAATATATTGGGAAAAACATATCTTGCGCAGCACTTTTACAGGAAAAATGTCAAACTTGTTCCCCTGGGCGGAAAAAAATTCCTGCACAGTCTGAATCTTCCAACCCCCCCC